ATATCGATTGCGAGATAGAATGATATCGATAGGGAGAACGATAGCGGGATCGATAGCGAGATCCAGAGTGAGATCGACAGTGAAATCGATCGAGTGAGATCGATAGTGAGATCGATCGAGTGAGATCGATAGTGGGATCGATGGTGCGATCGATCGTGAGACCGACAACGACATCGCTTGTGCGATCGATAAAGAGATCGATAGTGATATTGATGGTGAGATCGATCGTGAGACCGATAACGACATCGCTTGTGAGAACGATAGAGAGATCGATAATGAGATCGACCGAGTGGGATCGATAGTGAGACCGATAATGAGATCGATCGAGTGAGATCGATAGCGTGATCGATCTTACTCGACACCAAGGCTCCCAAGAGCGAGCGGCAACGCAACAATCACCACTGTTGCCCACTGCTAGCCCCCCTCCCCCCCAACCTCCTTATCACCCGCAGGGTGCTCGTATAGGTGTATATATATATATATATATATATATATATCTTAAAAATCCTGAATCGGAGGTTGGGGGTGAGATCGAAGTGGAACGGAGAGCCCTCCACCGGGAAATCGGTGTCGGTTTCGTGTTCGTGCGTGCCGTGCGTGCGGGCGAGGCGAAGCTGCGTGGGCGGGCGAAAACAAAGTCTCATGTGGCTGAGGCGCGGTCGGACCAAATGATTTTCCCTCCGGCAAGCGGTGGCCCGCGGTGTCCCGCCGGTGTCCCGCCGGTGTCCCGGTGTCCCGCTGGTGCGAAAACGATAGTGAGACCGATGACGAAATCGATTGTGAGATCGATAGTGAGATCGATAGTGAGGCCGATATTGAGATCGATCGTGAGATCGATAGTGAGATCGATAGTGAGATGAATCGCGATATCGATTGTGAGATCGAGTGATATCGATAGGGAGATCGATAGTGGGATCGATCGCGAGATCCAGAGTGAGATCGACAGTGAAATCGATCGAGTGAGATCGATAGTGAGATCGATCGAGTGAGATCGATAGTGGGATCGATGGTCCCAAGAGCGAGCGGCAACGCAACAATTACCACTGTTGCACCGCTGGCCCCGTTCCCCCCCCAACCTCCTTATCGCCCGCAGGTTGGTCGTATAGGTAGTGAATATTTACGGAGGGATCCTTGCTGCGGAATTTTCACGAAGGAATCTGTAGTGATAGATTTTGACTCAGGAGTCCTTAAGGCGGAGTCTTCACTGAGGGACCCTTCAAGAGGCATTTGGACGAAGGGGTCCTTAATGATAATTTTTTGACATGAATCCAGAATAAAGAATATGAACTGATGATTCCGCAGAAAGGAGGATTCATTCGGGACTTATTAATTAAAACAGCCGTTAGGAAGTAATTATTTAAGTGAAATGTGTACTGAGGAATCCGTAGATCGGAAACTGTATTAAAGAGTCGTCCACGAGGGACTTTACTAAGAACCCCCTACTAAGGAATCTTGACTGAGGAACCCGTGGTCAAGAACCTGTCACTAAGGGATCTTCAGGCAGTCGATTGGACTGCAATGCGTCGCAAGCGATTGCAATCTATATGGTTGCGGTTGTTTCTGTGGAAGCGGTTGGACTGCAACCAATTGGCTTTCAACCGAGTCGGCGCCCCCCCTCTTGGCTTGAGATCGATTGGGTTACAATCGATTGGATTGCAATCGATTGGTCGGGCTGAACAGGACCCCAAGCGAAACGTCTGTGAATTTTGCTATGTTCCGGGTTGCTGATTTGTTTGCTCGATGTCGTTCTTGCGCGCGGTTTCTTTGGCGTTGCTGGGCGCTCTTCGCGATGCCGCAGCACATGGTCGGGCCCCGACTCGCCTGGGCCCCGCCGCGGAGTCCGTGGGCCTTGGCCCCAGAATCAAAGGAGATCTGCGCCCTTGAGTCGAGGGCTCTGGACGCGGGGTCCGCGGGGCCCCAAGTACACAGGCCACCCGCGCGCGCTGGGCTTGCCCCCCGAGATGCCACCGGACGAGGCCACCGAAAGCTGCCCCGAAAGATGGCAGTTTCACACCGGTCGAATCATTAGCGAAAGTTGGGTGAATTATCTTCGGTCTTGTTTTTAGCAGTGCGGAGCACCATCCGAGGCGTCGACGGGCAAGATTCGGAGCCCTTACGCGGCGCGATTTGGAGCCCCATTCGGGACGTCGATGGGCAAGATTCGGAGCAGGAGCGCGGCCGCCGCAGGCAAGATTCGGAGGTGGGGTTCGGCAACATGAGGTGCGATGAGCGCCGTCCTCAGCAGCCTCTCAGAAGCATCGGAGGAGCCCCTTGGGAGCTTCTCCGGAGCCTCTCAGGATCATCTCAGACTCTTCGCGCTCGCGCCCGCGCAAAGGCGGGCTCAATGCCCCCCCGGCGCTGCGTCGTGAAATGGAGCGCGCGATTTGCATCTTTCAGATTTGAAGAGGAAGCCGCATTCACATGCCATCTTGGGGGGGCAGTTCAGCCCGATAAGTCAATTGTCGGCCGCAGCCCCGCCGCGGTCCACCACCTGCTTGCAAGCCTTGCGGAATCGCCCTGCGACGTTCTTGGCCACCGTCTGGGCCTCCTCGGTCTTCAGAACCTGCTTCACCCTTGCGGCGTGCGCAGTTTTCCCCAGTGGGCGGCGTTTCTTCCGCAGGTCGTCCAAGCCCATCAACCTGAGCTTCCTGCGGAGCCACGACCTGCGACCGCGACAAAGGCCCGCGACCCGCGCTAGCGACTCGCGCCTGCGACCTGCGACAAGCGACCCGTAAGACGCGGCCCGCGTCCGCGAACCGCGCCTGCGACCTGCGTCGCGGCAGTCGCCGCGATGGCCAGCTTCCGTGCTTTCTGGAAAGGTAGCGCGGGGAGAGGATGCACGCGCTTGCACCCTGCGGCGACAGCAACGATGGCGAATGGCGCCCCCTCTCAACGGTGCACGGCGACGACGACGAACGCCATCGCTTCATCCCTGTCGGCGCGAGCAGACATGGTCTAACCTGAGGTGGATGCAGCCGAGGAAAAACGAAGTGCAACGCATTTTTCCCCATTGCCGTGACAGAAGTACTATGCGGTCTTCATTCAACATGACCCAAGACTGGCGGAGTAAACGGAGTGGGCGGAGTAGAAATTACTCCGCGTGGACATGCATCCCGTCCCATTTTTCATGTGGGAATGGGCGGAGTAATTTCCGATCCTGTTTTGAGATAACAATGTTATTAGTTAGAGGTAGACGAATTACTCCGCGGGATCGCGGAGGACGCATGTCAACGTTAGGAATCTTCAGAGGGATAGGAGATTCCAACATATCATAAAACCGCAGAGTCTTTTGTCACGGCGGTGTGTATTTTTTTTTTGCAGTTGTCTCCATCGACTGATCTCCCTCGAACGCGGCGCTGCAGCGGCGGCGCAGCTCGCGCAGGGACATCATCCGACTATGCTCCGCGTGGCAGTCTCAGTCCAGCATATCCAAGCAATGGCAGCGCGCGTCGCGCCGCGATGTCCTCAGCGCAATAAGTCAAGCGTCGGCCGCAGCCCCGCCGCGGTCCACCACCTGCTTGCAAGCCTTGCGGAATCGCCCTGCGACGTTCTTGGCCACCGTCTGGGCCTCCTCGGTCTTCAGAACCTGCTTCACCCTTGCGGCGTGCGCAGTTTTCCCCAGTGGGCGGCGTTTCTTCCGCAGGTCGTCCAAGCCCATCAACCTGAGCTTCCTGCGGGGCCGCGACCTGCGACCGCGACAAAGGCCTGCGACCCGCGCTAGCGACTCGCGCCTGCGACCTGCGACAAGCGACCCGTAAGACGCGGCCCGCGTCCGCGAACCGCGCCTGCGACCTGCGTCGCGGCAGTCGCCATGATGGCCAGCTTCCGTACTTTCTGGAAAGGTAGCGCGGGAAGAGGATGCACGCGCGCTTGCACCTTGCGGCAACAGCAACGATGGCGAATGGCGCCCCCCTCTCAACGGTGCACGGCGACGACGACGAACGCCATCGCTTCATCCCTGTCGGCGCGAGCATACATGGTCTAGCCTGAGGTGGATGCAGCCGAGGAAAAAAACGAAATGCAACGCATTTTCCCCATTGCCGTGACAGAAGTACTATGCGGTCTTCATTCAACATGACCCAAGATTGGCGGAGTAAACGGAGTGGGCGGAGTAGAAATTACTCCGCGTGGACATGCATCCCGTCCCATTTTTCATTTGGGAATGGGCGGAGTAATTCCCGATCCTGTTTTGAGATAACAATGTTATTAGTTAGAGGTAGACGAATTATTCCGCGGGACCGCGGAGGACGCATGTCAATGTTAGGAATCTTCAGAGGGATAGGAGATTCCAACATATCATAAAACCGCAGAATATTTTGTCACGGCGGTGTGTATTTTTGCAGTTGTCTCCATCGACTGATCTCCCTCGAACGCGGCGCTGCAGCGGCGGCGTAGCTCGCGCAGGGGCATCATCCGACTATGCTCCGCGTGGCAGTCTCAGTCCAGCAAATCCAAGCAATGGCAGCGCGCGTCGCGCCGCGATGCCCTCAGTGCAATAAGTCATCGGGCTGAACAGGACCCCAAGCGAAACGTCTGTGAATTTTGCTATGTTCCGGGTTGCTTATTTGTTAGCTCGATGTCGTTCTTGCGCGCGGTTTCTTTGGCGTTGCTGGACGCTCTTCGCGATGCCGCAGCACATGGTCGGGCCCCGACTCGCCTGGGCCCCGCCGCGGAGTCCGTGGGCTCTGGCCCCAGAATCAAAGGAGATCTGCGCCCTTGAGTCGAGGGCTCTGGACGCGGGGTCCGCGGGGCCCCAAGTACACAGGCCACCCGCGCGCGCTGGGCTTGCCCCCCGAGATGCCACCGGACGAGGCCACCGAAAGCTGCCCCGAAAGATGGCAGTTTCACATCGGTCGAATCATTAGCGAAAGTTGGGTGAATTATCTTCGGTCTTGTTTTTAACAGTGCGGAGCACCATCCGAGGCGTCGACGGGCAAGATTCGGAGCCCTTACGCGGCGCGATTCGGAGCCCCATTCGGGACGTCGATGGGCAAGATTCGGAGCAGGAGCGCGGCCGCCGCAGGCAAGATTCGGAGGTGGGATTCGGCTACATGAGGTGCGATCAGCGCCGTCCTCAGCAGCCTCTCAGAAGCATCGGAGGAGCCCCTTGGGAGCTTCTCCGGAGCCTCTCAGGATCATCTCAGACTCTTCGCGCTCGCGCCCGCGCAAAGGCGGGCTCAATGCCCCCCCGGCGCTGCGTCGTGAAATGGAGCGTGCGATTTGCATCTTTCAGATTTGAAGAGGAAGCCGCATTCACATGCCATCTTGGGGGGGCAGTTCAGCCCGACGATTGGATTGCAATTGATTGGATTGCAATCGACTGGCTTGCAACTGGCAAGGTAGCAAAACAGTGAAGAACAGGAGGGAGGAAGGGGGAGGGAGGACTGACGGGATAAAGGAAATAAGCCTTATGATCATGTGGGGGGGAGGCGAGCATGTGCACGTACTGCGATGGCGTCGAGTGTGGGGCGCCGTCCCGCGCCAAGCGAGCGGAAGATCCGCGCGCGCCCCTCGCATCGCGAGGGCCCTGCCCGCGAGACGCGGCGGCCCGGCGGTGGGCTCGTCGCTGCCGGCGCGGCCAAGGAAACGTGCCGGCAGCGAGAGAGAGAGAGAGAGAGAGACAGAAACAGACAATTCACACACACAATACACACAAAACACACACAATATACACACACGCACACACACAATACACACAATACACACAAAACACACTATACACACGCACACACACACACGCACACACACACCAGTTCGGACATCGGTGTGCCCACCGCCGCGTCTACAAGCGCCGCGCGCGACTTCGCTCCACTCTGGCCCGGGAGCCGGGCACATGAGAGCAGGAGCCGGGCACGCTCCTGGCGTGTGACCGCAAGGGGCGCTCCGGGACTCCCAGATGGGGTCAGATCAGACGGGGTTGGAGGATCGCGCGGCATCGGCGATGCATCGGAGATGCGGCTCGATGCGGAGCCCGATTTTCTGCATGCCGACGTCGCCGATGCATCGCCCACGTCGTCGATGCAGTGCCGATGCATCGACCATGCACCGCCGATGCACCAGTGATGCGGCGAGATCCTCCGACCCCGTCGAACCACCCCGACCACATCTGGGCGGCCTGTAAAGAGGCGAGCTGTCACATGGCAGAGCGGAGGGTCGCCGGCTGGGTAGCCGGCGAGCGCGGCAGCGCGGCGCGGCCAGCGCACGAAGGAGGAGAGGTGCACGGCGGGCCCGGGAGAGGCGGGGTGATGTTTGGGGGGAGCAGGCGCTGAGACGGCCGTGCTGCGCGCACACGTGATAGGCTCTTCACTTTGACGGGGCGGGTCACTGGTGCGCAGGCTTGGACGAGAGAGAGAGAGAGAGAGAGAGAGAGAGAGCGAGAGAGAGAGGGAGAGAGAGACCAAGCAGCCGCGAAGCGCTCTGCCCTTCTTGTCGGCCGTCCAGAAAAGGTTTTCATGCAAAGTGTGGTTTGCACGGCATGTTAGTATAACATGATAGGCTGGGGCAGTCTTGCTTTAACCTGCCGATTGTATGTTTTAAGATTCGCTTGCTCTATAAAGATTCGTGGTACGCCTATAATTAGGAATGCCCTGACGGTGGGTCCCTGGTCAAAGAGAGACAGCGGGTGGTGCTGGGGAGGGGCTTCAGCGGCGTCTTGGCCTACACCAAGCGCGAGGGCAGGTGGCAGGACGCCCTCGACGCCCAGGGTAGCTCAAGGGTTCGGGAGCGGCGGGGTCGAGGGGCGAGGCGTCTGACGATTTAGCATGCTTGTTTGTGTGCGTTGGGATGGGGGTGCAGGTGGGCGAGGAGGATGAGGATGAGGGGGAGGAGCGCCTCGGCTTTCTCGGGGGCAGTTGGGCCAAAGGCTCTGGCTTGGGCCTGGATTGTTGAGAGACGCTCGACGATAGATGAACCAGCACATTGTATTATCACTGCGCTTTCTAACTGTATCGTGCCAGCGGGGAGAGGCAGTCGGAAGAAGGAGAGGGGTAGGGAGGAGGATGGGGAGGAGAACGACGAGGAGGAGGATGAGGGACATAAGCGGGTGTGGAGGAGGAGGAGGAGAAGGAGAAGGAGGAGGAGCCGGAGGAGGAGGAAGACTGCATCATTACGTGAAGGATGGACGGGCTGGAGCTTCGGCTTCAGTCCTGCAAAGGCTATCGACGGATGGCGCAACAAGCTTCAGTGTAATGACATTGTCATTGCTCGACAAGGGATACGTTTGCAACCCAGGGGGCATGAACAGCTTGCGGCAGTCTCTCCTGCTGTTCCTGAGATGTTGCGTCCTCATTCATCCTTCGTCTCCCCTCTTCTTTCCCTTCTCTCTGATTGAATGATATCCTCCTTCACTTGATCCTCCTGCTGGTCATGCTCCTTCTCTTTTGCCGCCTCCGCTTCCGCCTCTCGCATTGATAAAACCCTTGCGGAGAGCACGGGAGCCTTGTGCCTTCCGTTGTTTTTGTTCACACACGTTTCGTGTTGCTGGGCTTCCCAGAGGTTCGGGCCGCGTCTGGAGCGCCAGCGACCCGACAGGATTACCCAGAGAGTCTAAAAGTATCGGAGAACGGCCGTGGTGAGGGCGTGGGCGTTTCCTGTGAGCTGGCTGGGGGCATGAACACATCGACTCGTTCGCATGTTCAGTATCATTGATATTTTTGAGGCTGCCAGCGTGACACCGTTTACCCTTTCGTTCCTGACCTTGGTGATGTCGTTCATGATGCTCGCGGGTCTCTTATTCAGTGGGTATGTCAGGATTGGCTTGGTGATCTGACGCCACCATTATCTGAGTCTCCTCCTTGGCTGCTTTCGTTGCTTCCGATCTTGGATCGTCCTCGAACGGTGCTTTTAGTCTATGCTGCTCTTTCAGATGCGTTCTGTTTGGCCCGCAGCTGTCGGAGACACAGTCTGGGTGAAGGGTTGGTGGCCGAGAGGATTCACGCCCGTCTTCGGGCCACGGTCCGCCGCCATTGAGCTCTTTCAGAGTGCTGGCAGGTGGAGAGGGGAGCCTGCTTTCTTTTTCGGCCTGCTGACAGAGCTACTCTGCCCGCGGGCATCCCCTTCTGCAACAACGGAACGAGGTCAGCGACAACTGGTGGGGGTTATCACGAATGCACATGTCATAATACATGCATGCGTGCACAAAAACGAGTGAGGCGCACCTCACCATCGACGATTCACGGCATGCCACACCTCAGCATCCACGATTCATCGGCGCACCTCGTCATCATTCGAATCCCATAGGCATCGTCCATCGGCGCACCTCGTCATCGACGTCTACGTCGGCATATACATAAATACACATGCCATCGAAGAGCAATCTCGTCGATTCGACACGAGACCCGGGGCGGCGTCCACACCTCAACCTTGGGGAGCGGAGCGCCCCAAGGGCGCCGCTGCGGTGCCAGGATGCTGACGCCGCCAAGGAACATTCGGTGAGCCTGATCGACGGGCCCCCCGAATGGGGCACTTCCAGGAGGCACCTCCACGACTGGTTCTCGGTCGGTTCGGTTCCCGGTTCGGGCCCGGTTCGGTGCCACCGCCTCCGGTTCGGTGTGGTTCCGGTTCACGTCGGGTTTGTGGCGGGTTCCGGTTCCGTCGGTTCTCGGTCGGTCGGTTCGGTTCTGCGGTTCGCGGTTCGGTTCGGGGGTTCTGTGATTTTGAGGCCAACCAGGACAACCTAGGGCGACTGCCTGTGCGCAGCTTGAAGATCCATGTCCAGTGCTGACTGATTCCCAGATATGCGATGTCCTGACTTTCTCCAGACGGGGTCTACGGAAGGATTTTCCCAAGGGCCTGTTTTTCGTCCCGAGTCGCTTTTTGACGGCCCCGGGGGCCGGCGAGGGCCCCCAGATTCCGAAAGCGGCTAAAAGCCTCCCGTCGTGATTTTTTTCTACAGCGCGAGCACGTCACGTCTGGGCACCGATCCTGACCCCTCGTGGGCGAAAAACGTATCCGTGCCCGCGGCCCCGCGGGCGGGGCCTCTGGGCCGCAGCCCCGCGGATACGGGGCGCTCTCTCGCGGATGCCGCGGGGGACGTGCCCGTGCGACCGCGTCTCCGCGGGATCGCGCCCCAGAGTCCAGACCGCCAGGGCGCGGATACGGCTATGCTCGGCGCGGGACATGCCAGGCTACAGAGTGTCGTGTCTTGTTTTCCTTCCAGGCCGCTTCAGACCACGCCGCTGCGAGCCGGGCGATTGCCCTCTGCCGGCGGCAGCGCGTGCAGCAGCCCCGCACCCTGCAGCCGATGTGCCGTCCCAGGCACGGTTCTGACATCGCCGCTCGCGAACCGCTCGGATCCCTACGCAACTCCTGGGAGGTCAAATTCTGATTTCGCCCTGGTCCGAAATCCGGCGTAATCCGGCTTCAACCCGCTGAGCCTGGTTTAATCCCGCTTAATCCCGTTTAATCTGGCTTAATCCCGCTGAATCCGAGGCCCACTCCGGCGTAACAGCCCCCCAATGGGGTCTAATCTTTTGTAATCCTTCCGACGAAGACCTCCCAGTTGTTGCCCCTTAATCTCACCACCCACCAAACCACCCAAACCCAACCCGAAGCCTTCAATTTGCCCTCCATTTCCAGGGGGCGGGGGGGTCGAGGAACGTTGAAAAAACACATGGAACCCGTACCCCCCCCAACCCGAAATTGGGGTCAAATTCGGGTCTTCGGGTTAGGTTGGGGTGGTCTGGTAGGTAGTCATAATCCCACCTCCCGCGCTGCCGAGCAGGACGTCCCCTTCGGCACCAGGAGGTCGGCGCGTGCCGCGGCGCCCCGGAGCCCCACGCGGTCCCTGCGGCCGGGGTCGCTGGGCGGCGCGTGAGGCGGGGCAGTGGGCCCAAGCGGCTCGCGTCGGCGCGGGGGAGCGGGGGTCGGCCACGCGCAGGGTTCGAGGATCCAGCTTCGGTTCTTGTCCACCCCTCGGGTTCCTCCAGGGGGCTCCTCGTCGTCACGGCTGGACGTCAGAGCGCACTCTGGGAGAGGTCCAGGGATGGACTTTGGCTCCAAGGCCCTGACATGCTCGCGTCGTGACAGTTTTACGACGGGAAGATTTTGGCCGCTTTCAGCCTCGGCGGGGCCTCGCCGGGCCCCAGGGCGGTCAAAATTGTTCAATGCGTGGGGCTCCCCACATGTGCATCTATTAACATGGACCTGTCCGCCGTGAGCGTCCAGGCGCAAGAGTCTTTCTGAATATAATCGGGCTTGAGTATTGACGGCCTGGGAGCGAATCTAATTGTAAATGGGTTGGAGTGTGAACGAGTCTCAGTAGTATGAGCGCGCCTCTGCGCATGAGCCTGAGGCCTCCTGGGGCCGCCTCTTGGCGCTTCCTGTGGCCTCCTGAGGCCTCCTGGAGCCCCCTGGGGCCTCCTGGAGCCTCCTGGAGTCTCCTGGGGCTTCCTGGAGAGGATTCATGCCCCAGGGGAGGCCCAATCTATAGGAACAGACGTAAAACACTTCGAATGAGCCGCAGGAGAAGGGCAAGCTACAGGAAAACGCGTAAAACACCAAGGACTCGTGCCCCAGGGCAGGCCCAATCTATAGGAACATAGGTAAAACACTTAGGAGTGGATACACAGGAGAAGCATCATCTATAGGAACATACGTAAAACACTTGGGATTGGAGCCAGTCCTGTGGTCTTCTGAAGCTTCCTGCTCCTGGGGCCTCGTGGGGGCTCCTGGAGCCTTCTGGGGCCTCCTGTTGCTTCCTGTCGCTTCCTGTGGCCTCCTGTGGCCTCCTGTGGCCTCCTGATGCCTCCTGGGGCCTCCTGGGGCCTCCTGCAGCCTCCTAGGGCCTCCTGGTGCCTCCTGTGGCCTCCTGGGGCCTCCTGTGGCTTCCTGTGGCCTCCTGATGTCTCCTGGGACCTCCTGTGGCCTCCTGGGTATTCCTGGAGCCTGCTGGAGCTTCCTGTGGCATCCTGAGGAGGATCCGTGCCCACGAGGCTGGCGAGCAAAACAGGTCAACCCTTGGAGATATCCTCGCCATGTGGGCCCCCTGGGGTGCGCAAACCAGCGCGTCGCAAGAGACTTCCTCCAAGTCTGCTCCGAAAGCGGAGGGTGTTGAGCTGGTAAACAGGCAAACCGGTTGAGATATCCCCACAATCTGGGCGCGAACGGAAGCCGCGAGATACCCTTGGCGCCCCTCCCTAGGAGTGCGAAAACCAGCAGCAAACCGCCTGTGTCATCCTCATAATCTGCTCTGAGCGCAGACAAGCCTGACCCCCAAACCAGGCAAAACCGCTCGAGACGTCCTCGCCATGTGGGCCCCCCCTGGGGTGCGCAAACCAGCGCCTCGCAAGAGACTTCCTCCAAGTCTGCTCCGAAAGCGGAGGATGTTGAGCTGGTCAACAGGCAAATCGCTTGAGACATTCGCGGGTCGAAAGGAGGTCGTGAGATACCCTTGGCGGTCCCCCCGTTAGGAGTGCGAAAGCCAACAAACCGCTTGAGACATCCTCATAATCTGCTTTGAGCGCAGACGATTCTGGCCACCAAAACAGGCCAACCGTTCGAGACATCCTTGCAATATGGCCCCCTCTGGTCATCAGCACAGTGATCACCATCACCATCATCATCACCACCATCATCAGCATCATCATCACCATCATCATCAGCATCAGCATCATCATCACCATCATCATCATCATCATCATTATCAGCATCATCATCATCATTATCATCGTCATCGTCCTCATCCCTCATACTCATCATCATTGCCAGCAGCATCGCTCATCATCTGCATCAGCATCAGCATCAGCATCAGCATCAGCATCAGCATCAGCATCAGCATCAGCATCAGCATCAGCATCATCATCATCATCATCATCATCATCATCATCATCGACGCCATCCTAATAGTATCGTCATCAGTCGGCATCATCATACTCTGTGCGCCACCATGCTCTGAGTAGGATGGGGAAGCGAGGGAGGAGGTGAGGAGGAGGTCCGCGCGGTCAGAGCAATAACACTAACCCCATCTTAGAATATGGGATATGGGGAAAACGACTCGGGATGCAAAACTGGCCCTTGGGAACGGGTCGGGGCTCCTGGGGCCCCCGCATGGAACAAACATAAGACGTTGCATGTCTGGGACTACACGCCAGAGTGACCCTTCGCCCGAGTGACCCTTGCTGCGGGCCCGCTAAGATCCCCCGATTATTAAATGCGTTGCGACAGCAGCGGCCTGCGGAGCTTGGTTTGGCGCTCCTGCGCACTCCCGAAAGCCGCGCACCAAAGACCGCTCTTCCCCAGTGTCACTCGATCGTGTAGCCCAGGGGGACGTTTTCAGGGCCGGCCTGATTAGCCCTGGCAGACTTCCGAGGCAGGAATTTATACATGACCACCGCCTGGAGGAACAATTTTCGGGGGCCTCGGCAGGCGGTGGATATGGATATATTCGGGCCCCCCTGGGGCCGAAATGCGTAGCATCCAGCAGTCACGGGTGAGAGTGAGGGGGCGGCGGGGACGTCGGCAGTCTGCGCGGCTTTAATTTTCAAAAGCTATACAACGAGCCCGTCGCAGGCGCCGCAATTCGTTAAAGCAGTGTAGGTGGGTCGCGGGGTGGGTCGCGGGTGGGTCGCGGGCGGGTCGCGGGGTGGGTCGCGGGTGGGTCGCGGGCCTTTGCGGGGAGGACGACGCCAAACAACAACAACAAACAACAAACAAGAACAATAACAAACATCCGCATCGCGGAATCCCACTTCAGCCACGCACCCAGGGACAGTGAATGACCTTTCGGCCCCCTCACTCTGATGCCATGTCCACCGTCCGCTGGGGCACCAGGACGTCGGTTCCCAGGCGGTGGATCTGGAGAAATCCTCGCCTCGCAAGACTGGCCCCTTTCGCGAATGCCCCCCCCTCGCCTCCTTCCAAGACGTGGGCGGGCGGCTGGAGCGGAACCTCGAGGGCGAGGGGGTCGTCAGGGAAGGGGCGCGTCACGGAATGGGTCGGTGAGGGCCCGCTCGATCTTCCCTTTCGCCTGAACGGACTCGACTTCCAGTTCCATTCTTCCGCCCGGTGCTCTCCGGTGGGCGCCTCGTGGGCGCCTGGTGTTTTTTGGCATGTCCGAGGTATCGCCGGGTGCATTTCTCGGTGCCCGCCTGGTACCCGCCCGTGGTAGTCTCCTGGGCGCCGTGTGTGTTGGCTGGCGTTTTTCGTGTGACGCCCAGTGCCCGCCCATGGGCGCCTCGTTGACGCCTCGTGCGCTGGCTCGCGTGTCAGGACGCACACACCGCTTGCACCCCATAGATTGCACCACAGAGAGTGCGTCCCAAAACGTGCACCTCAGATATTGCACGACATGCGTTGTACTACAGAGTGCGCTACGCAGATTACGCTGCATAGCTTGCACCACATAGCTCTCTTCTTCAGAAGGAGGATCGGCTATACCACCCTCTCCCCCATGACTTATCGATTCCCTGTGGGACACTGGGTGCATGTCGAATTCTGTTCATAATCGTTGGCTTTCGATTCATTTCAGGGTAGAGTTCTTCAAGCGCGTATGAAACGCAACGGGTTTTCAAACAAATGTGTTTGCCAGCTTTGTCGAGTTTCTGCGATCGCACTTCCTCACCATCACCCTCATCAGCGCCATCGCATCACCGCTGTTATCGCCATCGTCAATCGCCATCATTGCCGCCAACATCATCACAACCACGTTCATCCCCGATGCGTGGACATCATCAGCGTCATCGACGCCACCAGCATCGGCGCTGTCATTGGCCTTGCCGTCGTCATCGTCATTATAGCCACCACCATCGCTACCATTATCATCGTTGTCGCCGTTGTCGACGTCATCCTGGTACCCAGCCCGCCCGAGTCAACGACCCGCACTGGAGTGCCTGCACGCCACCCACCGTGGCCTTTGAGACGCGCTGGGGGATGTGCCAAAGCAGCTGGTCGCCCTGTTCGCGAACGTTTCTCGCGCAAGCGCAGCCGCACAGATGCGCCAGCCTGTGCCAATCGACAACTGCAATCGTGGCCGCACGGTTTGGCCATACAAGTCGTTGGCAGGAGGGTGGGATGATTGCGCGAGCAGTGGGGTTGACAACTCATGAGTTGACAGCTGCCCATCATATTGCACACGTTGCACCCCACAGCTTGCACCGCACATATAGCTTGCACCCCGCAGCTTGCACATGGAACGAGCCGCATGTGCCTACTGCATGTGTGGAATGCACATCGGCAGTGCAACATCCAACTGTTTTGGCCTCCGCGCTGGCACACACACACAATTGCGATTCTATTCAGACTTCTGGTGGCAGCAAATCAGTTGGTACACTACGCAAGAGTGCTCGCACTCTCCTGCAGCACTAGGTGCTTCCCGTCTCCTCTGTCCATAACTTTGGGGCGTCTTGGACGGCCCCCTGTGAGTTGTCCTTTCGGCGTCCTGCTCGCCAAAGTACGCCTTGTTGGAAACGTAGCGAGCCCGATGTTTTCGCGTGCCTCGTGGCTGCGGCTCCCACCAGTGTTGCAGTCGATGAGCTGACATGAGGACCACTCTGGGTTTAGGTCGGCTGTGGTTTTCGAGCCGCTCCCTAATTCTCAGCCAGGGGGGCCTATTCGTGGCCGAGGTCGCCGAGGCCACAAGTGACCCATCGTTCGTTATTCAGTGTTCCTCATGGTCGCACGATGACCGTGGGTTCATCGCCGCCATGCGCGGTACCGTTTCGAGGTGCTTCTGGTCCACGGCCGTCTGCGCGCCACCCTCGGGGTCAGTGTGCCCAGGAACAGCCACACCGACCTGACGCAATCCATCATCGCATGTCCCCCAAGAGGTGCTTGCACTTCGTGGGTTGCGAACGTAAGCTGTCGAGTGTTGTGGAGTTTCGCTTGGTGCCCGGTTGTTGCCCGCCCGTGGGCGCCTCGTGGGCGCACCGTGCGCTGGGTGTTTGTGGCGGTTGCCGCACGGTGTGCCCGGTTGGTGTCCGCTTGTGGACGCCTCGTGGCTCGTGTTGCCTACCACATCGTTCACCACATATAGCTTCAACCACATCGCACCACGTGTTTTGCACC